TTACCTGCTTAAAAGGATATCTGTGGTTTCCTTATTTAAACTGCTGAGTTTTAATGTCCATCAAAAAGTCTGTTGTTGCAATGAATAATTTAGCTTTTTCAGTCTGCTACTCATTTTAATACTACAAGCTTAGTACCGGGTTTAAAGATACAAAATCCACCCACAGTTTCTCACAGTCCCAAGAATCAAAATCATACTTGCTCTAAGACAATAGTTATGTAGTTATATTCACAGTTCGAAATGATATCAAAATGATATATGTTTAAGGAACAATAATTCATAATAATTATTTGGATAAAGAAGAGCACAGTATCAGATTTATCAAAAGAAGTTGGAGAAATGATTGATCATAAAGGCCTCAAGAACCTGTAAGTGCACAGGTAAGTGGATATAGAGGACCCTTTCTCAAAAGACTAAAGGTCAATGGATTTGGAGATGTAGGAGTGTCATTTCCTCTGTTTGTCCCTTGGTGGAGTTCTTGAGTCACTTTCTCCCTTCTCATCAAACTGCTTTATATTTCTTTCCAGAACTGGCTATCATGTTTACTGTATTTAACCTTTTTCTTGTACTATTGTGAATACAGCGTCTATAATAAATGAAAGCCCTCCTGAGATCACATCTTCGTCACCTACTTGTTTGTATTCTTACCCATCAACTTTTGTTGTCATTGTTACTTCCCTTCCCGTCTTTTTGAGGCTGAAACTACATCACGGACGCTGAATGCTATTTTCCAGCTCAGTCACTGAAATCTCTTAACTGCCAAGCAGCTTTAAGATGGCAGGGCTAGTAGGTAAATTTCAAACAACAATAACAAAAAAACTACCGAATATGAGAAGTATAGGGTAGGATATTTGGTAAAGAAAAAAAAAAAAAAGAATCGTTGCCCAAGCTTTGATAAAAGGTCTATCAAAACGGGACACGATGTCTATTTTAGGGAATTTCATTTTTCATAGCTTGGTTTCAAGTGGTCATTTAAAAAATATTCCTTTAAAATAAAACGAGACAAACCACAAATCCCCAACATTTCGGCATTCTCTCAAATATTTTGCCTCCTGCAAGCGATGACGTCCTCGCACACTGATCAAGTCAGGCTTTAGGAAACCGATCTCGCTTTCTGTCCTCAGTTCTGGCCGCCAAAGCAGCAGCAACAGCAGCATAGCAGCAAAGGGCTCTTTAATTTATTGCAGCCGGTTACACTTTCGATCCCATTTCCTTCTGAACCCTCTCCTCTCAGGTTGAGAAGATAAATGCTGCCTCGAGTCTGAAAAGCCGGGCGGGGTTTGTGGGTGGGAGCGAATCCGGATATCATATTCCCGTGGTGAGGTCTGGTACGGGGGGGGGGGGGGATTAAGTTCCCCAGTTCCATTTAATGAAACTGCTGAGCACTTGTGACACCGGCTCTAAGACTGCGGAAATGGGGCGGGGGTGGGGGAAACGGCTTCTCGCCTCCATTCATCCTCCGCGCCGGCGGGAGGCTGGAGTTGGAGTGTCAGTCCCCAGACAGGGGGCGGAAGAGGATCGGCAGCTCCGACCGCGGCAAGGGCGCCCCGGGGGCTCCTCTCACCTCGTCTACACCCGCGCCCCGCCTATTCGGTTCCCCTTCCCGGGAACAGCGCCGCGGGGCAAAGCAGCCGCTCCTCGGCCCTTCGGCTGAAAGGTCGGAGGCGGGGACCGATGGGGGAGGGAGGAAGGCCGGGAGGCGGCGTGGCCGGGGCAGGCTGGCGGGCTGTTCTCCATGCCGCACACGTCGGACCCATTTCCCACGCTGGCTTGGCTCGGCGGTGGAGTTGGTAGGGATGAGTAGGGAGGGCGGACTGGAGACTCCCTCCCGCTCGCAATGAGAAAACCACTCCACTGTGAAGGACGCGCTGCACACACACCCCCACCCCATCATCCGGGAAGAAAAAAAAAATGCGGCGCTCGGAGGAAAAGCCTCCCACTCCTGCGCCCCTCGCTAGTGTGCGCCTGGAGATTGCGCGCCGGCGGCGGGCGAGTGTTTCAAGGTGCTCAGGGGCTTGTTCAAGTTTATGGTCTGGCGAGGGAAGAGGGAGTGTACAACGTCTCTGCCCACGCGGCTGCCTGAAGTTTGCAAAATCTTAGTACGGCGGGTCGGGGAGTGCGTGCACTGCACCATATTGCCGCGCATCGGAATGCACCGGTGCAAGGCCGCGGAGGAGCAAAAGCTTCCCTCTTTCGCCTTGGACCCTAGGAAAAAGGGGACCGGGTGTCGTGGGAGGCAAGGGTTCTGATAAACCAGAGTTTTCCACATATAAGGGGATTTAGCATTACAGCCACTTAGCGGGCCTCGGAAAGGCTGCGACGCCCCCCCCCCCCGGCTCCAGACTGCGGCGGTGCACACTGAGTCTGCGCGCGGGGTTTTTCTCGCTGATGCTGCAGATCTCGAGCGGAGTGGCTCGGGAGGCGGCGGGCTTGGGGAATGTGGGGGTGGCCGGGTTCCCGGCCTGGCCCCCGAGGACTAGCCGCTGCACCCTGCGTGCTAATGCTTAGCCGACCGGAAGATACTGGCCGGCTCCCTGGCACTTTGCGCCTCCGCGGTCCCCCGAAGGGAGACCTTGGAGGTCTCCGCCGCCTCCCCCCGCCCCGCCATTCCTGCGGTCTGCGCCCGCCCAGACAGCCGCGCGCTACAGCTGCTCCTACACTTTATTGGTGTTTGTCTTGTTTAAATCATCTTGCCTCCTCACACGGGTCTCGTAAAGACAGAGTGCCCACTCTGGACGGATTTCTTTCTTTCTTTCTTTCTTTTTCTTTTCGTCTTAAATTTGCCTTTAAGGGGAGGCCCTTCGGTGCCCATAGATTAGGCAGACTAGCTGAGGACCAACCAAATCCCACCAGCAGCTCCTTTTCCCTTTTGAGATGGTAAGATTCCCTCCGAACACCTCCTGCCCGCCCGAACGCCCTTAATCCTGGGGGTCCCCCTTAGCCCCTAAAACACGCGAAGAGCGAATGGCCACAGTTCTTAAAACGCCAGCGGAGCTGAGGACCTGACGAGGCAGGCGGCGGAGGCTGCGACTGAAGACCGGGGAAGCCTCCGCGGGGGAATACCCTGTACGATCAAGTGGCTCCAAGTCAAAAGGAGAGAAACGGAACTAGGGACACTTCGGTACACAAAAGTTGCCATGAAAGTTTATTTCCCTTTTATCCAGATAGGTGACGCTACACTTTACCAGTTACTAAAGGCTGCAGACTTCAGCTCAGAAAATAACATCGAGGCTTCCGACATGTGTTTATTCCCCAGGCGCGCGCACACGCACGGTCTACCCCCGTAAGCAAGCACGACGACAGGAACGCCAAGCGTTTAAACAAAGACAGGCACCTCCCCAACCCCCCACCCCAGCCCTCCGGAGTCCGCACTCCCAAACAAGGATCCCTCTCTAGCTCTCTCTGGAGTTAGAGGTCCTCTCTTAACCACCGCAGCCCATCATGGTTTCTCAGCACAGCAACGTGGCTCCCGGGGCGCGCACGCGGGATCCCCCAAGCCACCGCTGGCCCTGCCCTGACCAGGGTGCCAAATCGCGGAACCGAGACACTTCGGGGGGGCGGGGAACAACGTCTAAGAGGGGGACGGAGCACACACCTTCCCTGACACCCGCCCCAGCGCTCCCACACTCGCGCACGGCGTTAGTCAGAGACGGGGGCAAATTTACCAGCCCCGGGGAGGGAGAGCAAGCCCCCCGAGGACGCGGTGGCTGCGCTCGTTGGGAAGAGGGGGGGACGCTTTGGCTTAAAGGGGACGGGACTGGCTGGGATTGTGCGTGTAAGGAGTGGCCCCCGGAGCTGAAGCCGGGTGCCCGCTTGGTACTCCTCCTGCCTTCCTCCGCTCGGCTCTTCTCCCTCCCTCCCTCCCTCTCTGCGAGTGTGTAGTTTCGGCGGCTCGGTTGCAGCCGCCGCCGCCGCCGCCGCCGCGTCAGGGACCAGCTTGAGCCGCAAGCGAGCCAGCGAGCTCCCAGGAGCAACCACCACTTTGGGCAAACTTGCGGGTTTCCGGCTCTCGGCGAGCGAGCGGGAGCTTCCCACTTGCCATTCAGGGGCTTGGAGCCTCGGCAGCCCCGGGGGCGGCGAGCGCGCCCGCACCAGACTCTCCCAGACGCGAAAGGGGACGAGACAACTGCGGAATTCACCCGCCGTGCCAGGGCACTTCCGAGGCAACAGCCGACTGGCACTTTTTCTCCCCTTGGCAAACTGCATTTTTTTAAAGCTACTTGGCAGCTGTCTCTGACTCCACCTCCCCCCCCCCTCCTCCCAACCCCCTCCCCGGTGCCTTTGGCTTTTCTTCGGAAATCCGGACAGAATTGGGCATCTTTGTTAATTGCCGTTCGGGGAGCCCGGCCGGGGGGCTTTCACCAGGCCAACGTCGCCAGAGCACCGAGCCTGGTTTGCTCACCTTTGAACTGCAAAGGGATCAAGTTCAGCTCGAGTTGCCAGCATTGGGACTGGGAGGAAGGAGAGGGAGCGTGCAGTAGGGAGAGTGGGAGAAGGGGAAAGGGGAAAGGAGAGGAGGGAGGAGAGAGGAGGAGGAGGGAGGAGAGAGAGGGAGGGAGGGGAGGGATCGAGAGAGCGCGCGGAGAGAGAGCGAGGCTGCAATCTCCTCCCTGAATCGCGCACAGCGCTGCAGATCCCAGTGCTCCGACATGCGGGCCGAATGCAGGTGAGCAAAGGCACGGACTCTGCGGCTGCGAACCCAAACTTGGGCACCGCGCGGTGCGCACGGTTCAGCCTTCGCCCCCGCGGGCGAACGGCTGCTGCGGTTTCAGGCGGCGGCTTCGTGACTAATGACCTTGCGCAGAGTTGTTAAGAAAAAAAGAGAAACCCGAGCTCTTGGGGGTGAGAAGGGACGGACTCTCTGGGTGTCTCTGAAGATGGCTTGGGCTGCTCTTCGGCGCGCGGGGGGGACCCGGACGCGGACCGCCGCGTGACGCGAGTGGTCTCCACTGCACGGTGCCCGAAGCGACCTGCCAGGGATTTTTCGTTCTCGATCTGTTGCCTGGCTTCCCCGCTGCCAGAGCAGAGTCAGAGTTCAGACCGGCTTGTTGCTGGCCCCGGCGCCTTGCGCAGGAAAGCAACTCACGTTTGCCTGGGCAGCGGGAGCAGAAGCCGGGTCTGGAGTGAGTGGCTGGAACGTGAATTGGACTCCACTCGAGTAGCAGCGAAGACGAACGGGGCCAGCAGGCGGGGGAGGCTGCAGGCGCGCTCCCCGCCGCTTCCCGGCTGCACCGCCCGCCTGGCGGAGCGGTTCCGGCCCCATCCGACCGAGCGGGGACGCGAGCCCGGGGTCCTCCGCCCGCTGCGGGGATGACTCTGGGGGGGCGCCGAGCCCGCGGCGCGCAGTGTCCCGTGAACTGTGAGTACTGCGACTGAACGGCGGCCGGAGAGCGGGCGATTAGCACCCATTGCATGAATTATGAAACAATAACTTTCTGAAGAAGCAGAAGGAAAAAGAAAAAAAGAAAAAGAAGGACAGATCGCCGGTGCCCCTGGCCGACTCTGCGCGCCGCTCTTGCCCCCTCCCTCCTCGCCCTTCCTCCTTTCCCGGAGAGAGAAGAGGGCTGGGAGGAGGGCAGGCGGCCGGCCCCGGAGGCGGGGGGCGCCCAGGGGGCTGTGATTAGAAGGAGCAGTAGCAGCAGCAGCAGGAGAAGATGCTGAGGATGCGGACCGCGGGATGGGCGCGCGGCTGGTGCCTGGGCTGCTGCCTCCTCCTGCCGCTCTCGCTCAGCCTGGCGGCCGCCAAGCAACTCCTCCGGTACCGGCTGGCCGAGGAGGGCCCGGCGGACGTCCGCATCGGCAACGTCGCCTCGGACCTGGGCATCGTGACCGGCTCGGGTGAGGTGACTTTCAGCCTCGAGTCGGGCTCGGAGTACCTGAAGATCGACAACCTCACCGGCGAGCTGAGCACCAGCGAGCGGCGCATCGACCGCGAGAAGCTGCCCCAGTGTCAGATGATCTTCGACGAGAACGAGTGCTTTCTGGACTTCGAGGTCTCGGTGATCGGGCCCTCGCAGAGCTGGGTGGACCTGTTCGAGGGTCGGGTCATCGTCCTCGACATCAACGACAACACGCCCACCTTCCCGTCGCCCGTGCTCACGCTCACGGTGGAGGAGAACCGGCCGGTGGGCACCCTCTACCTGCTGCCCACCGCCACCGACCGGGACTTCGGCCGCAACGGCATCGAGCGCTACGAGCTGCTGCAGGAACCCGGGGGCGGCGGCGGCGGCGAGGGCCGGCGCGCAGGGCCAGCCGACAGCGCCCCCTACCCCGGGGGCGGCGCGAGCGGCGGCGGCGGCGGCGGCGGCGGCGGCGGCCCGGGCGGCTCCAAGCGGCGGCCGGACGCGCCCGAGGGCGGCGGCGGGACCAGCCCCGGCGGCGGCCGCAGCAGCGTGTTCGAACTGCAGGTGGCCGACACCCCGGATGGCGAGAAGCAGCCACAGCTGATCGTGAAGGGGGCGCTGGACCGCGAGCAACGCGACTCGTACGAGCTGACCCTGCGGGTGCGCGACGGGGGCGACCCGCCGCGCTCGTCTCAGGCCATCTTGCGGGTGCTCATCACCGACGTGAACGACAACAGCCCCCGCTTCGAGAAGAGCGTGTACGAAGCCGACCTCGCGGAGAACAGCGCCCCGGGGACGCCCATCCTGCAGCTGCGTGCCGCCGACCTGGACGTGGGGGTCAACGGGCAGATCGAGTACGTGTTCGGGGCCGCCACCGAGTCGGTGCGGCGGCTGCTGCGCCTCGACGAGACGTCGGGCTGGCTGAGCGTCCTGCACCGCATCGACCGCGAGGAGGTGAACCAGCTGCGCTTCACGGTCATGGCCCGGGACCGCGGGCAGCCCCCCAAGACCGACAAGGCCACGGTGGTCCTCAACATCAAGGACGAGAACGACAACGTGCCGTCCATTGAGATCCGCAAGATCGGGCGTATCCCTCTCAAGGACGGGGTGGCCAACGTGGCAGAGGATGTTCTCGTCGACACCCCCATTGCTCTGGTGCAGGTGTCCGACCGAGACCAAGGCGAGAACGGGGTGGTCACCTGCACCGTGGTGGGCGACGTGCCCTTCCAGCTCAAGCCGGCCAGCGACACGGAGGGCGACCAGAACAAGAAAAAGTACTTTCTGCACACCTCGGCGCCTTTGGACTATGAGACCACCCGGGAGTTCAACGTGGTCATAGTGGCGGTGGACTCGGGCAGCCCCAGCCTCTCCAGCAACAACTCCCTGGTTGTCAAGGTGGGAGACACTAATGACAACCCCCCGGTCTTCGGCCAGTCGGTAGTGGAGGTTTACTTTCCCGAGAACAACATCCCTGGAGAGAGGGTGGCCACGGTGCTGGCGACAGACGCCGACAGCGGGAAAAACGCAGAGATCGCCTACTCGCTGGATTCCTCTGTGATGGGGATCTTTGCCATCGACCCTGATTCTGGGGACATCCTCGTCAATACGGTACTGGACCGCGAGCAGACTGACAGGTATGAGTTTAAAGTTAACGCCAAAGACAAAGGCATCCCAGTGTTACAGGGCAGCACCACGGTGATTGTGCAGGTGGCTGACAAGAATGACAATGACCCTAAGTTTATGCAGGACGTCTTTACCTTTTATGTGAAAGAAAACTTGCAGCCCAACAGCCCTGTGGGGATGGTCACGGTGATGGATGCTGACAAGGGACGCAATGCAGAGATGAGCCTCTACATAGAGGAAAACAGCAACATTTTTTCCATTGAAAATGACACGGGGACCATTTATTCCACAATGTCCTTTGACCGAGAACATCAGACCACATACACGTTCAGAGTCAAGGCTGTGGATGGGGGAGATCCTCCCAGATCAGCCACAGCCACAGTCTCTCTCTTTGTGATGGATGAGAATGACAATGCTCCCACAGTTACCCTTCCCAGAAACATTTCCTACACTTTACTGCCACCTTCAAGTAATGTCAGGACAGTAGTAGCTACAGTGTTGGCCACAGACAGTGATGATGGCATCAATGCAGACCTTAACTACAGCATTGTGGGAGGGAATCCCTTCAAGCTGTTTGAAATTGATTCCACCAGCGGTGTGGTTTCCTTAGTGGGAAAACTCACCCAAAAGCATTATGGCTTGCACAGGTTGGTGGTGCAAGTGAATGACAGTGGACAGCCTTCCCAGTCCACTACGACTCTGGTGCATGTGTTTGTCAATGAAAGTGTTTCGAATGCAACTGTGATCGACTCACAGATAGTCAGAAGTTTGCACACCCCACTCACCCAGGACATAGCTGGTGACCCAAGTTATGAAATTAGCAAACAGAGACTCAGTATTGTCATTGGGGTGGTTGCTGGGATTATGACAGTGATTCTAATCATCTTAATTGTAGTGATGGCAAGGTACTGCCGGTCCAAGAATAAAAATGGCTATGAAGCTGGCAAAAAAGATCATGAAGACTTTTTTACACCCCAGCAGCATGACAAATCTAAAAAGCCTAAAAAAGACAAGAAAAACAAAAAATCGAAGCAGCCTCTCTACAGCAGCATTGTCACTGTAGAAGCTTCTAAACCAAATGGACAGAGGTATGATAGTGTCAACGAGAAGCTGTCAGACAGCCCAAACATGGGCCGATACCGATCCGTTAATGGTGGGCCTGGCAGTCCTGACCTGGCCAGGCATTACAAATCTAGTTCTCCATTGCCTACTGTCCAGCTTCACCCCCAGTCACCAACTGCAGGAAAGAAACACCAGGCGGTACAAGATCTACCACCAGCCAACACATTTGTGGGAGCAGGAGACAACATTTCTATTGGATCAGACCACTGCTCTGAATACAGCTGTCAAACCAATAACAAGTACAGCAAACAGGTAAGATGTATTCCAAATATATTTAAATATCTCAGAAAAGGCGAATAACTCTGAGACAGAGAGCATCTTCTGTAAAGTTTTGTTTTCTCTCCTTTGAAGCCATTATTTGAAGATTTAATAACAGTAATTGAATGTTAATTCATGTATCATTAATTGAGGACAGGCCATCTATGCAAGGTGCACCACTGTATTTTGCAAGTTACCAAGCCAGTGCTCACTAAGTTAGGAAAGAGCATATTCGAAGCAGGCAGTGTTTTGCACATATCTTTGTACTTGACAGCGTTCATTCATCCTGTATTCTCTGATTTCAGGATAAAAAGGTATCTATTGTTTGGATGGTTAACTTCAACCTGAAATTATGTTGTTTTGTGGCTATGAAGTGGATAATTACACCCAGAGAGAAAATTTCTAAAGTTACTCCTGGTGCCTGTGCAAATTGGACACCATAAAAGTTTTAGCTATGCTATGTATTATGCATGACTTTGCAGGTAACAGAGGCTTATTCATGCAAATACAGTGCCAAGTCTGAGATACTTAAAAATTGGCTACTTTGACCAAAATGTTGGTTTACAAATAATTAATGATACACAAATGTCATGCAACACTGTCTTTTTAATACTTCAATATCTGTAACAATTAGACATCTGGGAGGGTATGCAATTAGCATTTGCATTCTTCATGTTTGGTGTTAAGAGTACAGAAGCAAAAGTGAAGTTGCATGACCCATTTTTTATTTAAGCCAGGCAACAGAAATGGTCATGATTGATGCACTGCATGCAAGAAAATGTTGGTATGCATTCTGATACCTGAGACTTTTCAAGGTCGTATGGAATACAGTTGTTTCCCAGTGAAATGTGGAAATAGTTCTTAGAAACATATTTTGAGGTGAACTTCAGAAAAGAGAAAATCTATTTTTGAAAGTTTTGCTTGTGTGAGATATGTAATACTCACAAAGTTTACTTGTTACACCTACCAAGGTCTGACACTCAGCAAGTAAAACCTTTTGGAAACTGCTGTGTGTAATGCTGTAGCAACCCCACAAATAAAATATCCTATATTTCTTATCATCAGAACTCATTTCAAAAAACCGTTTATGACTGACAAATAATTCCGAATAATAGTTTCTCTATTAAATATGCTTTGCATATGGGATGTGCAGTCTGAGAAGAATGAAGGCAAAAGAAGTTGTTTTATAGCCTCATTAAAAATGTTATTGATGAACTCATTAAATATATTATAGAAAAGAGATATTAATTCCTTACTGCTTTCACAATCTTAAAAATTAGTTTCCTAGTACTTATAGTACTTTACTGTAGCTATTTGGATAAGGAGAAACAGACTTAACATGCTTTTATATCCAATAAGCAAAGCTATCCACAAAAATACAGGTTTGAAGTACATTACTTTAAATTACTTTTGAAAATACATGATGGACGTGAGACTGAGTTATTTATTAATTTTAACCTGAAGTTTGATAAGTGGAGAGTTTATATCTGTTCTGTTATTGATTTACCTAGTGTTAGAAGGACATTTTTGTTTTGTTTGGGGTACTTTTATCAGACAATTATAGTTAAAATAATAGTACAAAGGTGACTTATAAAATGCCCACAAATACATGTAGATCTATATAAATTTCCTTGGAAAATGATCACATGTGGTGCAGAAGTGTGTGAAGAGCCCTTTCTGCAGAGTGTTTACTTCTTTGCTATCATCCTAATAGGTCTTTTTATCCTGCAGCTGAATGGCATTTGCATTCTAAATTGTGTCATCTTAAACTTTGGAGTGGACGTATCAAGTGGCAGATTTATAGATATTTTATACCACCACCTCATATGTTCTATGCTGTCACTTAAGCTTTAGTTGGCTCATGAAATGAGGTTGGCTCTGGATTCTTGAATATTTAAGACAGCCAATATCAAGACTGTTGTGGCATCCTGTTTAAAAGACAAAGTGATGTGCTTATAAATAAACTAATGTATGGTGCTCGGCTCTTAACAGAGCAAAAAGAAAAAAAAAATCCATATACCAAAATAGAAAGGCTAAAAAACCGTTGGTATCAATCATGCAGTTTGCCAGAAGTGACTGGAAAACTTATATGTCATTAGGTATTCAAACGATGTGTAAAGTTTTAACCACAATAAATAGCTGGATTAAAATGAAATAAAGGAGGATGAAACACATTCCTCTTAATGTAATTAGTAATAGTAATTGATACTCTTCATCTCTTCAATATTGCTGTCAGGGGACAAGGGATCCATTTACAAAGTTACATTCTGTTAAGATATCTGACATGGTAAACAAGATCTTTTTTATTCTGATTATTGTACCATAGTAGATGATTTTCTATTTTTATTTCAAAAGATATTACCTTTTATTTTTATACAACTTCCAAAATGTATTTTCTGTGATTAAATGGTATGTAATATAAAATAAAGAGCATAAGGTTTTGTTATAATGTTCCCCCTTGATACTGAATCTATCTAAGGAAAACCCTGAGGGGTGCCGTCTTTTAATTCCTTATGGTAGGGATTAATTAAAACTCTGAGATTTCATCTGACACAAAGGCTTCATTTTACTTATGAATTTCCTGGATTACCTTATCATAGTTCTTAACTTCTGATACAATGGAAGCGATACCTGTTTACAGTGTTCTTATCCTCATGAGAATTAGACATTTCCAAAGGTTGCTCCTAAATCCTGTTGATGGTTATAGTGCAATAAATTAAGCAGCTTTGTGTAAATAAAAGTTTGTAAATAATGCTCCTCCCCCATTTTTGCTGTGTTTTACAGGGTCTAGAAACTTTCAAATCAAGCTGCTGTAGTTACTCTTTGGCAGAATCTAGATATGTGTTGCAGAGTTGCTATACATTTTTTTTTTCTGAAATTCACACCTTAGCAAAACTGATGATGTAGCCAAGGTAATCATAGTTCAGACCTTTGCAGTTCAAACAAAAGCCTTTGCTCTCAACTAAATAATGTGTCTAGTTGAGCAGAATGTGGATCATTGACAGCATTATTGAGATTAAGCATCTACCCCTCCATTTCATTCTTCCTTTGCTTGGTAAACCTGGTTTCAGTGGTTTTTCAAATTTTGTGATGTGGAAGTACAGTTGTGCTTTTTTGATTTGTAAAATAAAGGCAGAGGCATTCTCTTTTTTCTATTTATTTTTAAATCTTCAAAGTTTTAGTGTGTGTTAAAATATTTTTCAATTATCTTCAAGAATAATATAATTCCAAAAGTTTTATATGCAATATAAAAGAATAGTGACTACTTTTTAAACTATCTTGAAGTCCTGTTGCATTTATACATGCCATGCTATTAATTACATAATGCATTGGCAAGTAAAAATTTTATTGTATTTAGTAAATGGAAAACCAAGTACTTTATTTTTGGTAAGAGTAGAGAAGATACAGCTTGAATAAACATTAATTGAAAAATCCATTTGTAGCTGCCTCAGAAATACTCAAGAAAAATTCATACTAAGTCCAATGATAGTTTACCTTGCCTAAGGGACTGCTGAATGTTGTCTAAATAACATTCCTTTTAATTGATCAAATTGTGTTCAATATATTCATTGTATACTTAATAAAACATATGGCAGAAATTATTTTTTTAAATTACTTCCAGTCTGGAAGCAAATGGATGACTTGCCAAGGTCTATTAGGGTTTTCAGCACTGAGGAAACTAAATATCAATTTGTTTGTGTATGTATATTACACCATACTTACTATAGTAGCTTTGCATCTGCAGAGCAATGTCAAGCACAGCTTCTAGTTTCAATTTGATAAGCATATTTCTATAATATGATGGGTCTGTCTATAACCAAAAACACTTTTAAGAGGTACAAGGAATCTGCATATGGTAGAATTTCTGTTACATTTGGCCTGCTAGAATAGACAGGAGGCTAATAACTGATAAAAGTTAGGTTATGTTTTTAGTCAGGAGGTATCGACTAAAGCAACAATACCTTAGACCTCTGGATGTCTCTGAATAAGGGAAAGGTCATCCACTGTTTTGATGTACATTGAATATATACATTTTTATGGAAGTCCAGGTATGACAATTTGAAACTTATCTCAAACTTACCCCAAGCTGATGAATAACTTAGACACAAAACCACAGCGTCAGTTTATAGGTTGTAAGTAAATCATGCAGCTGGATAAATACAGCAAAATCATCCTTTCTTGTTACTTTTCCTGCCTTTGAGTAATTACATTTCTTATATGTGGGAAAGTGTACATGGTATCTCTCTTTCTTTTCAATGCACAAACACATGCAGCATATTCATATAAACCAACTGTGATGCCATTAGTCTTTTATTTCATTGTGATATTCATACATTAACATGTGGAGCATATCTGAACTTTAAGCACATACAAAATTGAAATAAAATATATCATCATCAACCATTTAGTGTCTGTATCTAAAATCACTAGAGTCATTACATTTTAGAATTAAAAAGTATCAACCAAACCAGTTCCTTCATTTTATATGAAGAGACTAAGGTCTTTATCTGTATCATTGGGGCGTGAGTTCTGTTTTCTGCTGGTACCTTGACCGATGCAATGCAACTTAAGAAGTTGAGGCCTTTCTAAGAAAGTAATTTGATTGAGATCACAAGATTTTCGAGGATACAGTGTGGATACAAGTCAGGAATGCAGAGACCAGTGTTTTTGTTTTTTTATCATACTACCCCAGGAATAAAAGTGAATTTACATACCTTCTTCTGTATATATTTCAATAACAACAGAAATCTGTTGAGATTTACCTATCTGTGTATAACTACATATTGAGCTATGAAAACTGACTTTTTTACAATAGAATATAATTCTGCTATAGGCTCTAGTTTTTATCTGTAAATTATCAGGAAAGTATAATTCAAATTTTCTAGATTTTCAAAAGAAATTAATGGCTCTTTTCCCCACTGTAAAATAGCAATTGATGGCATACATTGAAGTATCTTAACATTGTTTAGAACATATATTCAACAGGTTAATTGACAGAATTTTTAATTTCAGCAGAAGCCTGACAACAGGTGGTATTAATATATTCTCAATAAAAAACATAATTTTTATGGAAATTAATACAAGTTCTGTATACATTGTGTATACAATTTTATATGCATTCTAATGGGGAGCATCTTTTGCTGTTTTCATTTATATTGATGATCTTTTTTTGGCTTCTATGCTCCTTTGCATTTTGCCAGCTTTGCAGGTAACACAACCTTCATATTGACCTTAACACACAATTGTAAGCTAATTTTTCCTCTAAATTAGTTTTCTGGCAAGTTTTTAAAGCAATGTGATATTTTTAAAATTTTCAATTGCATTTCCTCCTTTGTTAGGCAGTTAACCAATCCAACGTATCATATTTGAAATTTACATAGTGATAAAATGCTGATGATTGAGTTTATCAAATTAAAAATAAAATTTGAACTATTTTTAAAACTAAATATAATGTGACAAAACCCTTGCTTCGCCATAGCCACCAATGCGATTAGCTCTTTTACTGTCATTTCTTTTCCTGGGAGACGATGGTGGTGAAGGTTATATTGGTAACTGAATATAATAATTGTTTAGAGCTTTATGTTTAAGTGGTATATAACCAATTTCTAGGCTATAGCAAGGTTCCACATCCATTTATTTACCATGACTCTATAGAAATAGTAAGAGCTGTTCATATAGATCTTGAGTCAGCTTTACTTTTCTCTCTTATTTATTTTAAAAGCCCTTAGAATCTTTTCTAAAGCAGGGACTCTGTTTCGGAACATTACACAGTGCTTTATTTAGCATTAGTGTTGTGGGAGAAATCACATTCCAAGAAGAATTGAGCTGAAACCACTAAAACTAATCTTAATTATCACGTCTGGTGAATTAATGTTTTAAAGGCAGAATAAAGGTTTATTTTCAGGAATGCAGTGATGTTTGTATTGAACTCTAATGCTGTGTACAAACAACAACAACAACAACAACAAAACCTATTAAACCTTCCGAGTAGGATTCATCTGACAAGTTAACTTTCTTTTCTGCCTGAGCATATTTATTATTTACAGCCACATAATTTGTAAATAAAAATTCTCTGTACCAAAACCTCAGCCACAACATTCTGATTGGGTATAAGATATTGGGGGGAAATCCTTCATCGCACTTTTTTTTTTTTTACCTGCATAAATCTTTATTTTCCTTCTTTCAGATGCGTCTACATCCATACATTACTGTGTTTGGCTGAATTCCACTCTAATATGATGCTCCATTATGCACCATACTCTGATGACCTTGCTACTCCGAAACCTGCTGGAGCCTGCCCTTGGCCGTGGGGTGTCAGCCAATCACTGCTTGTTTCACTCGTTGTGCATTTGATTTTCGGGTTCCCCCCCATTTAAGGAAAAATAATACTGAAATAAATCAATTTATAAAAGAAACAGTATTAATAAAGAAATGTGCTACAAGTGGACATCTGAGTCACTGAGAATTCCATTCTCAAGGAGGTGGTTAGCAGAAATGAATTGTGAAGCCTTAAAAAAAAACAAAAAAACCCAAGGCACATTTCAACAATGATTTTAAGATTCTAGCTTTTGTGTGAACCAAGGAAAAGTTAAGTCTACTTAGTCTTTGTCTTTAATACATTGGATACTGACTTTTGGTAAAATCCTAAGTTGATCAATATTTTTGAAGGGTTATGGAATTACAGCCTTTTCCAGGCCAGTGAGGTAATTGTATTAGAGTAAAAGATAATGTCTCACATCTATAGGCAAGGACTTTGAGCAATATTTATAAAAAATATTGGTTTATAAAATAAATTCGAGAGGCTAATTTTGTATTAAGCAGTTACTGCCAATAGATTGGTTCTTCCTTAATCTTGAAACATTGACCAAAGACTCTGTATTATCCATAGAAGTTTTAAGTATTTTTCTTGCTGTTAAATTCCTTAAGAAAATTTGGAATCTTTCCATTAGATTTACTGAAGTCACTATAGTCACATTCAGAAGGAATTTGTGGCTTCCTAGTTTTGTGGTACATTTATCTGAAGGCTATTCTATTTGATGTCAGATAACATAAATCCAGGCTGCTTCTGAGAATGCAAGACTTAGATATTGTTGAGAGAGAGAGAGAGAGAGTGGCTAAATTTTAGTTGTGTAAGTAATATTCTAGGCAAGTCAGGAACCTTCTGGGTGGTCCCTCTAATTCTTCATGGTTATGTATTTATGTTTCTGTTGTATGTGTTTATATGCCTAAAAATAACTGCTCAAGTGTGGAGTTTCATAATTTTATAATGTACTTACCACATTATTTGCTCTACTAATTGTTCCCCAAGTTTTGAAAGACTAAGAATGACAGGCTGGGATATTTTTGGTGAATTATTTTCAATATAAAAGCCTTTTAATAAAAACAGATGAATGTTGTGAGAATACTAACATGTAGAGTGGTAGTAAATGTACGCTAACCCATGAAAATCTCTAATGTATATATTTCAGGTTTTTTATTCTGTTAGCTGTTTATTTAATTTTGCAGAAATGACATTTTCAGAAATATTCGTGAAACTGTAGTGAAATTCCTGAATAAAACCTGATTATCCTCAACTTCTCAATTTGTTTTGTGCACAAGGACCAGCGGAAGAGGCTGGTGAAAGAGCGCTACCACTTTCTGCTTCTTGAAAATGTCATGGTCCCTCACCAAAATTAATTTCCTTAGATATAATTAAAGTGTGACTCCTGTAGCAAATCATATCAATTCAAAAACAAATTAAAGACAAAAAAAGGTCCAGAATTTGAGGATAATCTAATTACAGCCACATAGAGGGAATATACATAAATACTTTCACAAAGAAGAGCCTTCCAAGGCGGCATTTTGAAAACTTGGGCTGGAATACGTTACTGAGGCATGAATCCACTTAGTGCATCTCTACCACAATTGGAAAGATATGAAATGAAACAGAACCATTCCAAGTATGTCACTCATGTAGCAAGAGCAAGCATTGCTGTGTGGAATCCTTGTTACCGTGGTGGTGTGTGTGTTCTGTTCTCGGTTGCCATGGGAAAAATGTGTTTTATTGTGTAAGCAGTTGAAAAGGGTTCAGAACCACCACTGTAGTTTGTTTCGGGCGGGAGACTATGGCTATTATTGGAAAAACATAATAAATCAAAACAAAAAAATAACACTTCCGAAGATTTTAGTGTACTTTTCAGCTGAATCAGAATGATCATCAGCATACTATGACAACAACAATTATCAACAGTAAAAAGCGTTTGAGCTTTTCACTCACCCGTGTGTGTGTGTATGTGTGTGTGTGTGTGTGTGTGTGTGTGTGTTAATCTTTGAACATGTCACCAGTTGGTTCCTGTTTTGCACAGACTTCTCCTCTTTCTCCATTCCCCCTTACTCCCAATCGCCATCCACCTCAGGTCTCTTGGCCAGTCTCCTGTGTGATTACTGGAATTTACCATTTAAGGAGATGCCTGTGGATAGATGGGAGATAAACTCAGAACAAACTACCCATTACCCTATAAATTTTAGCATTTGGACATTTTGTTTTAAATGACCAGATTATAATTTATTCTCCATCACAAAATCTAAAGAGGAATAGGAGAATGTTGGAGCCTGGTTTAATACCTTTTAATACATCTAATATCAGCAATGATACTGGAATGCAAAAACAGAATAAGATAATAAGGACTGTAAATAAGGACAATAAGATTGTCCTCATGGAACTAATATATATACATTAAAAAAAGATTACAGAGCAGAAAAGGATAGATTATATTTGCATCATGCCCCTTAAGTTTCAGAAAGTTGAATCATGTTTCCTCATTTGGTCCTCAGAGCAATCTGTGAGGAAAAGCACCATTATTATATCTGAGGTGAGGAAACTGAAATAACGAACAACTTATTCATGACTCTGATGGAACTAGCTTAAGAACTTTATGAAATCTTTGAAGAAATACCAGATCAGAATTCAAGTGTACTTAAAGCATTTGGGGAGATTTGTGAAATTTGTGCTTTTGAATATAATCTATTTTCTGACTTATCTGGGTAATATCATCTCAAAAGAACTTCTTAGAAAACGACCCTGGTTTTCAGACTTTTTGTAGTCACAAACTGCAACTAATACTACTAAAACTGAAGCAAAAACAAACAAAAAGGCTGTGGCATAAAGTAGAGATCTAATTAATTAACTGGATTTGTAAACAACCCCATACGTGCTTTTAAAAAGAAAAAAAAAAACCTTAAGAATTGAGTAAGTCACTTTAACCCTGTGTTTTTGAGGATATCTCTAGAAAAACTCAAGGCCCTTACTAGTAACTCCACAGTTTGAAATGTGTCTCTGGGAATAATTTTCAAGCAGTAACTTCGCAAAACAGGTTTCTTGAATGTGTGTGATTTTTTTTTTTTGTTCCCCTTCATTTCATAGAGATTGTATTGATTTGCTATATCTTTAACGCACAGTGGGAGGCTTTGGGGTGTAATTAAAACAATGGCTAGAACAAGTCTCTTCAGAGAAAGGACAGCACAAAACTAATATCCATAGGTCAGATATGTATGTGAGACTCAGAGGAGCTGCCTCCAAGTCTGTCGCAACCATCATGGTTTTCCCAGTGCTTAGTAGAGGCCGAGCACATGGGAGACACTCATAATATTTGTTGAACAACAAACAAAGGGCCTGGGCTTTGGTGCTAGATACCCTGAAGATCCCTTCATATTCAATCACTGGGCTTTGGTAGGTCCACTTTTAGATCAGACTGTTAAGTATAGCAGTCGTTACTTCCTTTCCCTGCTGGGTGGATGAGTCCATGCTAAAAGGCTACCTGCCTTCTCTGTGTGGGTGTGCCTCTCATTATAGTAGTAAATGAGCAATAATCTTCTGTCCTCTCCTTCCATCTCCATGGTGGCGGTGTCCACACCAAACCCTTAAAGAAAGATGAAAACTAAACTACAGATAGGCAAGCTAAGCAAGAGAGGCATTGGCCGCCCAGTAGAGCTCTCGTGTAGTTTGAAGAGGTATGAGGAAGCAGGCAAACATGCTGGTTTTCAGTATTTTTCTTGACATACTTATTCTTACTCTGTACTGATGCTCAATACTCTGGTTTCTCTTCAGATCGTATAAATCTTTCGCCTTTTACTGTACGGATGCTCAGCATTATCCGTATCTCTTTCCTTGTGGAAAAAAATAGGTACCTCTATGCCCAAACATAGACACAAGTGTCCGTATTCCTCAGTTTACATGTTCTAGCAGATAGTACCCATTCACTTTACCAGCCCATGCTCACTGATAAAGAACGCGTTTCCATTCTTATTTTGAAAGCCCGTGGTGAGCAGTCCTTTTTAAAGGTGAGAGCTTGGCATTCTGTAAAGAGAAACATGCACTTAGTTTACTAAGGAAAGCGATCTGGAAGAGAGAATATGCTCTTGGGAGTGATGGGGAGTGAGGTGGTTGCTTAGAAATGTCTTGCAACTTGAAAGCACTCCTCAGAATGGAATCACTATGTTATACGCGCTAAACTAATATCACAATATCACATTGTGTGTCAGCTCTACTCAAAAAACAAAAACAAAAACAAAAACAAAAACAACCCAACAAACTCTTTAGGAGCTTATATTGGAAAGAGCACTCTTTGAAATTGCAAATCACCTCTGAAGGGGTTGGGTTTAGTCTCTGGCATGCCCTGTCGTAAATGGCTTTACGCAGATAACTTTAAACAGGTCAGCACCTCACAAAGATCAACAGGACTGAGGAAATGAGGCTTCTGCTAAGGGCCTTGAGGAAGGAGGGTGAGCAGCTTCGAAGACCAGAACTCTGTTAAGGCACCAAGTGTCTCCAACACCAGCTAGGCATCTGGGAAGCAAGAAGACTATATCAGAAAAGGAATTCCAGGCCTGATAAGGACAAATGTTTGTGGCCATGAATTTTGGCCCAGGGCCCTGGTAACCATAAGAATGGCGCCAAACATCGTGGCTTAATAGGATTGCAAGATGAGTGTCAAGAAGTAGTAAACTTCCACATGCCCCCATTGAGACCCTGTGGTTTGGTTTGGTTGGTTTTTGTTTTCAGTCTAAAATATTATGTCTAACTGCTCTGCTTCCATTCATTTTCTGCTCCCATATTATTGAGAGAAAGATAGAATGAAGAAATAAAAAGAGGGGCACCTGGGTGCCTTGGTCGGTTGGGTGTCCAACTTCGGCTCAGGTCATGATCTCATCGTTCGTGGGTTCGAGCCCCGCACTGGGCTCTGTGCTGACAGCTCAGAGCCTGTTTCGGATTCGGTGTCTCCCTCTCTCTCTGTCCCTCCCCTGCTCATGCTCTGTCTCTCTCTTTCTCAAAAATAAACATTAAAAAAAAGAAATAAAAAGAAAAAACAAACAAACCACAACCACTGCATAGCAACCTACTCACCTTCTCCTTATTATTATCAGACTATTGTCATAAAAATAGTGGCCATATTAGTGCCACGTAGTTGAGTCTTGTCCTAATTTCATTCAGTTATCAGCAACTGAATTCTAGCAAGTCTGTACTATAGTCCAGAAACCTGAATTTTTAGCACTTCCTCCTCCTCAGTTCTGATTGCAGATGGTAGGTCAGACTACAATAGTTCTGGGTTAGAGTCCCTGAAATTTCTAACTTCTATTTGGTAGTTCACTCCTCGAAGGTCTCTGGCAAAAAGGAAAATGAGCTGGGTAAGGCAATCTGAACATCTGTCTCCTTGTCCTGGATCTGTCACTGACTGGCCAGTGTGACCTTGTGTAAAACCTTTCAAGTCCGGAAGCCTGTTGAAACTGTCCTTTGCCATTTTACATAACAACCCCTACTCTGATTACGGGACAGGGTTTATGGGGGGAGCACATAAAGCATTTGGAGCTTTGTAAAGGATGACCACAAATCAAGATAATATTTCTAATCATCCATGAATCTCTCTAAGTCTTCTTAAAATACACGTACACTTCTGGAATATTTTCACTATCCATTATGTTAAAAGGTTGCTTGGTTTTGTTTTTCCGGGTTCCTTTGTTTTAATTTGTCCTACTACTTGTCTGAAGCATCTGATATTCTCTTATCCTGATGGATTTCTTCAAAGCTACGCTGATCCCTGATCATTGGTGCCAGAAGTGGGTGTGCCCCTCCATATGCCAGTAGGCCCTGGATATTATCAGAAAGCCTTTCAGTGTCTGTTGACATCTTGATGGTGAAGGAGGAGAAGAAATAGCTTACAGCTGTAAAGCAAATAGTTTAGCAAGGTCTTGCAACACTTTGATATTATCCATTTTGACACTTTTGAAAACATTCCATCACTTTTTAACAGTTATCTATTCTTCCATGCAAGCTTTCCTGGGAATTTTTTTTTTTCATACATCATGACCAGTGATAACTTCTAACATGAAGAGCTATCAGTTATTGAGCTCTTCTTCCTTTTTTTTTTTTTTTTAATTGTTTAATGTTTACTCTGAGAAAGAGAGACAGAACGTGAGCCAGGGAGGTACAGAGAGAGAGAGAACACAGAATCTGAAGCAGGTTCCAGGCTCTGAGCTGTCAGCACAGAACTGTTTGCGGGGCTCAAACCCGAGAACCACAAGATCATGACCTGAGCAGAAGTCAGAGGCTTAATGTACTAAGCCCCTCAGGAGTGCCAAGCTTTTATTCTTTGACAATCACTCTGCCTAGGGTGATTTACTCATTTCTAATAATTTCAAGAGGCAGGTCCTATTATTTTCTCCATGTGACATATGTAACTGGGGAAAAACAAAACAGAACCTCTCCTAGATCCCATCCCATTCTATATACAACAAGGTCCACTAGCTGCCTATGGCCAACTCCCCTCCAACATACCTCTCTCTCCAAACTTGAGAATTTTTATTAGCGTAGTATCTCTGATAGATTATAATTGACAGATTTACGTATTTAGACTGTGGTATGCATTTTATTCTAGTCCATAATACCTGCTATGTATGCTAGGAAGATTGAAAAGAGAGAGTCAGGATCAGCTTGCTAGGGCTATCATAGCAAAGTACAGCAAAGTATGGTAGACTGGTGGCTTAAATAACAGATATTTATTTTCTCACAGTTCTGAACACTAGAATGCCCAGATCAAGTGCTGGCAAATTCAGTTTTTGATG